GGATCAATAGCCACAAAGAAATTTGATACAGATAGGAAATGGAATTTCGAGAAAAGATTTCTGGTGAAATCGCACAGACAAAATGACGGATAAGTAGGAAGAAATGGATAAAGAACAAGAGAATGGTATACAATGTCGAATGTTGGAGAAACGACAACAAGGACGGCAAAATCACACGTTTCACGTCTGTATACGTACCAGTAGGTACACGTGTACCGATGTGTGGGTACATAAGTAGGTACGTATGTATAATACGATCGTGTATCGGAAAAAGAAGCCAAATCGAGTCTCACTTTTTCTTATGACCCAGTTTTTTAGAGGAAAAGTCATCATCCTATTTATCGTTTCTCCGTTGATTCGGTCTTTGATTTATTCGACGCGTATTTTCATTCTACTCTTGTACGGCGCCACATATATTCCTATGGATATACTATACGTTAGGACAATAGAAACTGAAATGTATCGGTAATCTCTCGAAAGTGGAGATTTTTCCTGTAAATGTCGACATACTTGTTCGTTGGAGTAAGCGTGTCTACGAGGAGTCGATGAATGAGAAACTAGTATTCGCTAGGATAAACAATCGTATTTCCTTGTACGGTATACGCGCGCGAGTATCCTTGTCGAAGGCGATCGAGAAAAGCAAGATACGGTGCAACGACCGGCCATCAAGTAGGTCAGTTGTGGGCGCACGCAATCGTCGCAACGATTTTGAAAAACTGTCGTTCTACTTTTACATGAAAGCACTTTCACGGTCGCTCACCCGACAGTAACGAATCTTGTACCAAGGTACTTTGCGTCTCGTTCGAACATCGGACACGCGTAAATCTATGCGCGGATCTGCAATATTTCTTGCGTTTCCGATCAAATACACGCACACAGTCTTCCGTTAACGGACCATACATCTTTGATTCCTATCGCGAAAAGATGGCGATCCTGATTCCCACTTTTCCACCATTCCCTGCGTCTCTCTCCATTTCCTTGCTCCGATTTGTATTTTCCGTCTTCTCTCGCCGACAACATTTCAGCGATGACTCTCCTCGCGATTGTCCTTGTGCCGTACGAATCGCGTATTGTTTTCAGCCAGTCGTTTGCAAGAAAAAAGATCAAAGTCTCGGGCGGTTGTATCGCTTAACCGAATTCTCTGTGCAGGACACTCGTTACCAAATCGAATCGACTATAAGTGAATCTGTCGTGCACGCATTGTTATCTCTGATAGGGTCCTTTCTCAAGTTTTTTCAATATCCGCTTTCATTTTTCGCTCGACGAGTAAAAATATTGAACGCGATTGAAGAATAGCGGGAGTGGACACAGAAAAGTAGACGTGATTTTACAATCTGTTCTGCCTTTTGCAAGTGAGTCGCGTTCGATGCGTCCAATTTGAATGGTACGTCGTCATCGATAATGTTAACTCTGAAACGCAAACAGTCATATCGCGTTACAAACTTATGAAAATGCAAACCGTTTCTTAAATAACCTTCGCAAACAAGTAGGTCACAGGGTCTGTCGTATACGTTTTTTCAATTGTTGTGTACGAACTTGCACCGCGTACAATAAAGTAACAACACGTGAAAATCAGTTTGCCACGCAGACGAGCTGTTTCTCGTTGCTGCCGACAACAACGTTGCCAATTAAGGGCTTTAGCTAACAAAGCGGACAACTTGCCAACTAATTATTTCGAGTAACACGGATGCTCGTGCGCCTGCATATTTCAGTGATTTGAACGTTTATCGACTTGAAAGTTGAAAGTGGAATAATTTGCTTTCTGGGAGAAGGAAAAGGGAAAGGTACTACTGCGAATACCTTGCTGGCCGGAGAGCGAGGGCGAGGACGGGGGGGAAGGCTCGAGAAATGCAAAGAAAAGTTATAAAGTTGTAAAGGGCAAGAAGAAAGTGGGGTAAAAATAAGCGACGAAGAGGGAAAGAAATTGCAAGAGTGCGGATGCGCGACTGCATGCGCCGCTACAGCGACGCCATAGTACCGCAACCCGCCGTCCACCGTCGCCTCGGCGCCACAGTCTCTCTCCCCGCATGCACGGAGCCGGCTGAAAATTATCGTGCAACTCTTTCCTTCTTCTCTCCCTTGTAACGTGTGTTTCGACTGTTTCGACGCGCTTCTTCAAAAATGGTAAGTTACCAACTCGACACGATCGTTGGAAACCTTTCGATCCCTCCAGCATCCCTTTTTGTCGCAGTACGCAGAAACCCTTTCATACGGATTCGCGTTAATACATTCGTTCGTGAAAACCCCTGTCTCGCGGTGTGCTGTACCGTTCCGTGTCATTTCGTGTCACTTTGTGTCATTTCGCGTCATTTCGCGTCATTTCGCGTCATTTCATGCCATTTCGTACCGTCTTTTATTATTTTCCCTACTTTTAGACACGCGTATACTCTGAACCAGCTTTTCCACCGATCCTCGGAAAGATTGCGTGCTACGTATTTACACTGAAACTTGTCGATTTTTCATGGAAGTGGTGTGCTCGGTATCGTTAAGTTAATCTTTCCGTTAATATTGCACAGTGTGCAGTGTAGCCACGCGACTAAAGCGATTGAACGTCAAACGGAAAAGAAGCGAAACTTAGATAACTGCGGTACTCGATTTACAGTTGCTATAATTGGCCACGAGACAGCAGCACCTCATGGAATCATTGCCCGAATTCTAGCGATCACGGGATTGTAGGTACATGCATACTTACCTATAGAAACAAATACTTTCATCGCCTTATCATTGAAATCCTCCGGCAAATGAAATTCACTTTCTAGACAAATTTCTTTGTTTCCTTTGTATAGGAATAGAAATATCGTAAACGAAATTATTTTCACTATGTCAAGAATTATTTTCATTATGATAATTGACAGCGTTAACATCACCGTCAACGTCTTCGTTATCGTCATTCATATCGAATTGTCATCGTCATTGCCATCGCCAACATCGCCGTCGCCGTCGCCGTCGCCGTCACCGTCACCGTCATCGTCATCGTCATCGTCGTCGCCACCGATCGACATCGATAACGATAACAACAACAACGCCGTCGCTCGCAACGATTTGCATAAATCTCTGACAGAATATGTGAAAAGTGATCAATTTCGCAGGTACTCGCGAGCACAAACTTATCGAATCCACGTCGAGAAGAGCGGGAACAGCGAGACCAGCGAGAACAAGAAGAGTGCTCGCAACATATATATCGGTGCGAAAGGAGCAGAGAATTGTCGCGAGAACAGGAGAACCAGCATCGCATGTCGTCGCGGAATGGTAACCCGGAAGAAATCTCGGTGTCGAATTTAATAGATGGAGAGAGTTTGTGCTACAGTTTAGCTCTGATACGCGGCCGAGTGACGGCAGCAGCGGCCGCGGCCTGCAACTCGATCACTCTGAGGAATCAGAGGATTCAAAGCTCGGCCGAGTGGCCGATCGTCGCTGGGGAATTCCGCGCCGTGGTCGAACTAGCGCGAGGACCGAACAAATTGGAACTGGAAGCGGCTGGACGGAAGAAGAAGCTGATCTTAACCCACGAGCCGAGAACCACGAGATTACGCGTGACGCCGGTTTACGTGATCTGCGCTGGCCACGACGGATACTTCCAAGGTCCTCGGGAGGAGGATCGATCGCCGGAGAGCGCGGCGACCAGGATAGGTCTCGGCGCCCGCCTCTTGCAAGCTCTCACCGCCGAGAAGCTCCGAGAAGCGGGCTACGAGAGGAAGACCTTTCAGCTGGAAAGAGATTTGGACGGGCCGGAATGCTTGGTGATGCACAGTATGCTCGACGTCGACAGAGCACGCGCGATGAGTCAACGGGAGCTTTGGGAGTTGATCGCGCGGGAACTGATGACCGGTCCGCTAGCCTCGAAGCATCGGAAGTATCTCGCGTTTCTCTCTTGCACGAGATACCGAGGCGCGCCGCACCCTCGCACGCACGAGGACACCCTCGCGAGAACACAGGGTCACGCGGCGCTCGGCGGCGGTGGATTGGCTCTGTTCGGCTCGGCGTGCCTTCACACCTGGCCAACCTGCATGAGTCAAGTGTTGCCAAGATTTCTAGACGCGACGGTCATCGATACGGAGCAACTGATGGACGACAGCAATTACCGCGGCACGCACGGCGGCTGTTTCGCCACCACCCTCGGTTCCGTTCTCCACGAGTTGGGTCACACCTTTGATCTCGGCCACACTCGCGAGGGCATAATGGGCCGTGGATTCGATTACGTCGACAGAGTGTTCGTCGGCGCCGCCGGAATCGACTTCAATCGAAATCCCATTTTACGGAAGGACCCGCAACACACGACGGTCGCGTTGAGCAGACCGCTCAACGTCACGGTTACCGTCCAGCAACCGTTTACTTTCTTCGCCAGTCCACGAAGGAGTCGTCTGCTTTCCGAAACGTCCCGGCCCTCGCCTTCCCAGAGTCCTCCGCGATTGCCCGGCAGATTATCCGCGCCCGCTAGTCCGGAACTGAACAGATCTTTCTCGAAAAGTCTGCTTCAAGCGCAAACCGCTTCGATCGAGCAAACCGCCTCGAATTCGCAAACCGACCGGACATTTTGGACACCCTCGTGCGCGGCTTTTCTCGCCTATCATCGATGGTTCAACAACGAAATGGACAACGTTCCTAATCGTCGCTTCTACGACATCGACTACGACGGGAAAAGGTAAAGTAACGCGCATGCGAAAGCTTCCCTTCCTTCCTCGTAGTCCATTTTCACTCGAAGGAGATGCCCGTATCCTCCTCCCTCCGCGCCGCCGTTAAAACGCTACTCGACCAGACGATAATGTTTTTCTGTTGGTTAAATCGCAGAAACGTGGTGAGATCGCGTTTCGGAGTACGAGTGATAGAACTGAGAGAGACCTCGGGTGGAATGGTATGCGGCTCTCGACAGTTTCCTGGGAATCGACCACCTTTGGAAGCGCTGGTCCCACCGAGTCCACTTCATTGCCTTACCGCGCTGACTCTCGTCGCCGAAGATTCGGCTGGCAATGTGCTTAAATATCCTTTACCGACGGCATTTTGAAGTTTTCCGCTCGTTGCTCGTTGCCACGACCCAAAACTTTCAAACGAACACGCAACCAGTGCCAACTTGTACAAATCGACGCAAGTGCATTAGTTTCCACGTATCGTGTATTTATACGGGGTAACGCTTTGGCCCGAACAAACTCAAACTTCAAATCAAATATATGTCTGCCTCTTAGTAGCTGTGATTTTATCGAACCATTTTTCACGGGTACGCTGTATTTTAAGAAACGGACTCTTTCATTTTCTGTCCAACGCTCGCTAGGCGAAACTAGACGAAAACCTTCCTTCGCCGTCGTTTACAGGCATTCTAGTATCCTCTCGTAGTAATGTACTAGAAAAATAAAGAGCGAGCGAATATGCTTCACTGTATCTGTTCGAACGCAAGAACTTTTTACAATGTTATAATCGACGCATCGGAGCGAACGTAAAGATTGTGATATCTTTTATAAATGTCATTTCAATCGCGTTCCAATCAAAATGAAAAGCAACGTTTCCGATAGAATTGTACTTACTTGCTACATAGCGATCAGGCGTAGGCATCGCATCGACCTGTGGATGTACTTGATTATATGTGAGAAAAAACCAAAAATTGTAACACTTTCATTTGTAGCTAACGATTCACGAGAACTTTATACATGAATAAGTAAAGAAGTAAATAAGCAAGCAAGTAAAGTAAGTAAAGTAAGTAAAGTAAGTACACACGTGCCGTTTCATAACGGTCGAATCGTGACAAACGCCGCCGAAGACTCGAAGCAACTAGAATGCCTTATCGGTGATAATAATAAAATAGACATAATAAAAAACCCAATATAAATCGTAAATAGGAAAGATCGAATTCTATGCGAACGAGAGAAGAGACGGTGAAATCGCAGAGTATTTGTATCGAAAACACATTCCACTCTATATAGATGGCACACGGACGATTAGTGTCGTTATTATAGTTACCATTGTAACCGTTATCATGTTATTATCGTTATCGTATCGCCAGTTTAGTTGAAACGGTATACGCGATAACGTACCATCTTACAAATTGCTATTCTATCGTAATAAATTTGTATCGAGAAGCTTGTTAAAACAGATATTCGTTCGAGATATCTCGTCGTTTAACGTGTCTGCCGATCGTTTGCAACCATCTTATTTTACACGGTATCGGGCCCGTAATTTTGCATCTATCCCTGCCGTCTGGTGGTACAAGCCAGGCCTTTCACGGAAAGGAATAGAGCGACGAGGTGGTCGGTGATTGGGACCGAACAGAAAATAGTCTCCACGCTCTCGAACGCGTCTGGTTTCTTCTGGTTTTCTGGCTCTCCAGCTTCGCGAAATTACGGGGACAGTACCGTGTATGTACGTTTCTTTTATCTTTCATTCAATCGTTTCCATTCGTAAGACAGAATCGACACAATGCTGCCTGTCGCATCGAGTTCGAAAGGAAAGATAAATGTGCTTGACAGCGAAATTAGAATACTCTTTCCCGAAATCGTTCAGGGGAAGATAAACACTGCAGAATTTCTAGCTGCAGCACGCGGTATCGTGAAAATAATAGGTATGTACTTTTGTACATACACTTGAATTTCATGCGACATAACCAACAAACAGCCACGAATCGATCACGTACAACTTACTAAACGTCAACCGATAAATTAATTTTTCAGATAAACTTGGTAAAGTGTTTGCAGCCGTCAAGTATGATATTCAAGGCAATATCGATGTAAGTTTGTCCAAACATACACTCGAAATCACACTAATCGACTTATTTACTTGAGTTTACAGAAGCTCGCTGCTAGGTACGCGACAAATAGAGAAAAAAATGTAACCTTGCAAGACATGATTCTAATTGAAACAGCTACTGAAACTAATTTAGTTGCTATGGATGCTTTATTGTGGTTAACTAGGTACGCGCAATTCATTTCTGATCTTTTCGATTATTCCTTTTGTTCACCAACAGGATTCAAGAAAATTCGATAGGATTCGTGTAGCACCTTAGAGTAGATTAGGTTAGGTAAAGTTACGTTAGGTCTTGGTTAGGTCAAGTCGAGTCAAATCAGGATTGGTTATTAAAGTCGAGTCGACACACAACCATCGTCCAACAAATATTTCTTTTATTTTTTTTTTCCCCCTTTCTCTATTGACATTTTCAATTTACTCGTTACAGAGGGTTACATATGATTTTATTGTTTTTTGAAAAAATTGTCGAAGATACTAAAATGGGTTCCCCGACGGAAGATTTAGTAGCGTTCCTTAAAAAATCCTATAAAGAGACCCTGGAACCATATCACGGTTGGATGGCGCAACAACTTTTTAATGTAAGTGTGCATTTCCCAAAGAACATTCGTAACAAAACATCACGAGAAACTATTAATCTACTGTAATCTTTTGATTTATTTTTTAACATTAGCTTCTTTCACGCATGGTTCCTACACGTTCACAATTTTTGTCTGCACTAACTGCAAATCAGCAAGCTGACAAACTCGACATCGTAATAAATGACATGGAAATTTACCTGACAAATTTGCGAAAAAATGTGTCAGCAATACAATTATTTTATAAAACCCATAACCTTGGAAATTCAAGGTAAAAGATGTTTGTTCTAGGTACAAATATTATTAAATCAATCAACATTATTGTTTATTATAAAAAAAATTCATATGTACATACACACCACACCACACACACACACACACACACACACACACGCGCGCGGGCGCGCGTCATTTGAATCGCTTAGTGGAGAATTCTTGACAGATGCATAATTGTACATAGATATATTTACATACTTAAACATATATAATATGTTTAAATTAACACCTGTTACACCTGTTATATAATTGTGCCAAATAAAATATTTTGGCACGTAAATCCGCTAAATTCCTTAAAGCAATTGCCCCCGTAATAATTTCAAGGAAAAGAAGGCAAATCATGAAACAATTGACAATTAGATTATTATGTAGAGATAATGTTTCATAATTGAAAACAAGGAACATTTCTAAAGGGAATTGTATTAATGTTGAAATCAACCAACAAGCTGCCAGTTCTGGAATCTGGCAAACATAGTTTTTATATTACAAACAACCGACTATTGTAATGTAATTAAATGCAGTTACCTTTCCACCAAGATTTCCAAGGTATCCCAAATATAACTTGAGACTTTCGCATACGGAAAGTATTAGAAATATTATTAACATTATGGCATTATAAATATCTGTTATATTACTGTACTGCAAAAAGTGGAAATGATCAAATTAATTGGATGTACCGACAATGACGTTAAGAAAAGTAATTTTTTATTCTACCAAATAAATAACATTATATTTACTCGGAAATCCAAGTTTACGAAGACTGTGAGTAACCAAATTGGGAAAAACCAAAGATTAATGTGTAGAATTATTTGAAATGGCAAACTGGATTTTATTTTGTTTCTTGTTAACCGTTCCATTTTCGTTTATTCGAGAAATCAATACCTCTGCCACTAAGGCAAACAACTATTACATTTTCACTTACAGTTCACTCACTACGCAGAAAATTGTATAGAATTTTCACATGTTTGGAGTGAAATTTACTTGCCATGTTGTCTTGGAAATTGTTTTTAATTACCTGACAATTGAACGTATATGTAGAGATACGTAAATAGTAGAAAAATAATGAATCAGGATTACAGCACTCTCTACTGGAAGACGTCCAAACTATTGGGTTAGTTAGCACAACACTACAGATAATTAATATTATTTCGATAGTTTTCATCAAAATTGTCGTTCTTTAGATAGTTTTATTGAAACATTTAGTCAAAGAAAACGATATTTGTCAGTATACGCGTACCCACTTGTACTTCAGTGAGACATTACTTAGAATTATTAGTAATTAGCTGATGAACAACCCGTGGCGATAGGATGGTGAAAAAGTATTCAAAAAGTAAACTAAATTTAAGATTCTCGCAGAATACGTATTATTTATAGGGTACTTGATTAAGAAAAAACAAATTAACAAAATAAGTATGCACATTGTAATCATATTTCTACAAGTAATTCTTTAGAATGAATAAACAAAACTAATAGTATTACGCATCAATAATTCTTCTTTCTCTTCTATTAACGATAAAAACGTTCTTCAAAGAAAACCGGCATTATTCAATTGTTCAGCTTCATTACATTGTGCGACGTCTTTTACGCAAGTTTTCCGAGTAGATTGCTTCTTCCCTTTATTGGTATAATACCGTTCTTTGGAACGAGATCGTTTGTGCTTTCGTTGTTTTTGCGATTTTCGTAATTCTGTAACAGCCCGTGAATATTTTTCTCGTTTACTTTGATCTTTTAATAAATGTTCCGAGTGTGCTGTTCCGCTACTGTTGCGATGAAAATTCATACTTTCGTGATAAGATTGAGGATCTTTAAGAAAGAGATCACCGCAGCTCGATGGAAAATCGGTAAATGAGATCGATGGAACTTCTCGTACAGTATCACCATGATGTTTGTTCGAACTCTGAACGTTTACACGATCCACAGTTTTCGTGTCGCAATGAATTTTACGTACATCCGTTATGTGATCGATATAAAACTCCATCTGTTGATCTATGATTTCTTTAAGAATTTCCGTATATGACTTCTTATTTGTATGAACTCCCTTGTGTTTTGCCCTACGTCTTTTCAGATTTCGTTCTTGCACAAGCAAATCCAAGAATGATAACTTTTTGTCATTCTTGTCTTGGTAATTTCTGTAAGAAAACAATTGTGACAAGATTTCTATCGCGAGACGAATGAAAAATATATTGCTGCTGACTTACAGTGCATTGGGATCTGTGAAATCGTGTCCAACATCCATTTTGACCGTATGAGATATAACATATTCGTATAATACTTTTCTTTCGTCACGAGTGAAATCTGTGAAGATTCTATCGGATGTTCGTGGAACTAACCGTTCACCCAAACCTATTATCAGTGTTAAGAATGTGGATTTTCAAAGAATTTATAAGTTGTAAAGAGAAACGAAACAAAGTAATATAAAATAAGTATCTATTATAATATTTAAATATAATGCAAAAAACATGAAAAAGGATATAGAGCTTGTGCCAAGTATGATATTGATAACTTTCTGGAAAAAATTGAGCAATTTAAAGTTTTCAAGGATACATTTTAAACATTGTTTTGTTGTACTAACCGACAGTTATGGTAGGATCCATTTGTTTTGCTTCTTTTATAATATTCCACTGTAAAGATGCATCTGCGATTGAAAACATTTGTTAGAAAGTTATCGTATAACGTTGTACATTTGAAATGGATTTGATCGAAACGAAGTGTGCCACTTGCCTAATTTTATGGAAAAAGGAGAAGATGAATGTAAACTCGGTTCAGATAGTGGTATATGAAATTCGTTATAACCGTCTTCTTTCCACTGACAGTGCTCTAAATGTTGATCTAATATTTCCTTTCCGATACGGTGCGACGAATCGTATGGGCATATCAGACGATTATCATTCTGCGAAAATAAAACATCTAATAGATCCATTTGTATATGTAGAAAGACAAAGTACTTACGTCAATTTCTATACTTTCTACCGTCCAATCTAAGGCAGCAGTAATATTCATGATTTCTTGGTGAACTTTCTTTGTAAAACGATTTAAACTTTGGTACTGAACTTCACGGTGATTTAACGCGCAATTGAACATTTCGGATTATACGTAATGCGTGAGTGGTTCTATACGATAAAAGTGAGAACATGTAAAAATTGGATAACCTAAATCTTCAAATAGGTTCTAGTATTACTCTTCTGTTTACGCATTTACCGTTGACATTTGCTTTCTTCGAATTACACGAGATATTTCTGTTCGCTATAGAACCACAAGGTATAATACCAATGATTTGAAATTTCTTCTTAAAACGAGCAATTTTTATTCGATATATATTGTGACGCCATCATCGACGAAACCGTCAAACTGCTTGGAGAAACATTATCGACTGGAGAGTGATGACCCAACGATTTCTACCAAGAAGACGACATATTTACTACGTAGGTACATCAGTGCCTATGCGAAGTATACTATATTTCATATTTTCATAAGAGCAGTATAACACGCAATCAAAAGAGATTGATTTTCTAATATGTATTTATATTGCGTACGCACAATCATTTACTATCTTTATTTCGTTTTCTTTTCACTCGTCTTTTGATTTCATTCACCTTGCCGCGGGCATGGTTCGACATGCACGCAGGGCACATGTAATTTGCTTTTCGGTTCTCTGATTGGAACGATGCTCGAATCAAGGACTTCTTCCTTGATTCACTCCTTATACTACGATGATTGTAATGATCTAGGTTATCCGGTAAGTTAAACGTAGAATTACGATTGTAATCCCTGTAATCGGTGTGAGAAACCCTTTAAACTGTCGTAAGAAATGCCGTGTGAGAAACCCTTGTTGTATCCATCTACGCCACCTATTGAGCAGTCCCGGAAACTTCCAGCCAAATAGCAACATCAAGACTCCGCCAGAAGGAGCCACCAACCCAACATCCGGTGGCGCCATCTATCACAGGAGCACAGAAACTTCTTGTAAAACGGTACCGACTTGGTTACACTCGGTGGCGCCACCTACCGGAAACATGGTGCTACTATTTGGCTAGAAGTTTCAGCGTTCTCCGAATAGGTGGCGCAACAATCCATCATTTATGGCGTGTTTCGTTATTCAGGACATTATTTATTTATGATGTTCACTAAATTACAATGTTAAAACATTTCATCGACCAACTTGTACGACTGCTTATTTATCAATGAATATTTATAAAAACAATGTCACGGGTATGATCAAAAGAATTCAAAATCTATTGTTAAACGATTTTTAATAACAATTTTTTGTCGAGGTATGGTGGCGCCATCTAGCAAAACCTGCACGATACTGTTCGGCTAGAAGTTTAAGTCATTCAGCAATAGATGGCACCATTAATCCAGGATATGGGTGAGAACTTTAAAAATTATTTCGTTATAAATTATCATATAAACCCCCATCGAACTCCTAATGATGTACCCCTCGAACCCCCACGAGAGACCATTAAGCCACCACGAGAAACATCTATATTTAAACTAGAGAGCCCCTCGAACCCGCACGAACGATCGCCACGAGTGACCACCCTGGTTGCGACCCCCTCGAGAGACACCCTTGAGAAACCTTTGATATCTGTCGGTAATTGCCGACGAAGGCAGTGTCGATAATTACCGACTTACATTGTGTCGTTAATTACCGACGCACGCAGTGTCGGTATTTACCAAGGTACGCAGTGTCGATAATTACCGACGCTCGCAGTGTCGGTAATTACCGACAGATAACAAGGGGGTCTCTCGG